GAATTTATAATGGAGCCTTCTCCAAGGCACCATTAATCACCTCCTTTTTTGCCAAGAAAATTGCCCATATTAAGAATCCTTGATTTATTTTGAATTAGCAATCTGGGTTAGGGCAAAGAGCGTCTTACCAATCTCTTAATAAGAAAATGGGGGATTAAAAACAAATAAACTTTGAGTCACCAATTAAACCCATCTCTACGCTTAGGATCCTTGATTTCTGGGTGGGTGGGAGGTTACTGTTTTAGTTAATAAATCAGAATCAGAACATTTTCAACAGAGGTGTCCTGGGAGGAGGGCTAATGCCGAATTGAGGATCATACATTGTAACACGAACTGTCTGTTTGTACATGAGAGGGGTGGAGATTGTGTGGCACTATTTATTGCTTCTTGCATGGCATCATTTTGACAACATTATCACACTCTTTAGGCAGAATGGGAAGTAAACTGCACGTCTGTGAAATCAACAGATGTTGAAACTCTGCTGCATTCTGGAAAAGTTTAAGCCTGATTAGTTGATCATCTGTACAGGGACATGAAAAAATACACCTCAAACCAATTCCCATAATTTGAATGCAGTAATTTAGCAAAATGTGGAAAAGAGTGTTGATATAACTATTTGAAGTAGCTGGTTGTTGGACTTTACCTGAAGGAAATATAGGGGCATTTGGGAAGGAGACAATTAAAGCCTCCAAAGTAGAAAAGATCTTAAATCTGTTAGCACTCAGAACAAGATAACCATTAATGCATTGGGCACCATTTTGGTCTGTCATGACTTCGCGACACTGCCTACATCAGGGCTGTCAAACTTGCGGTCCGCGAGCCAGATGTGTCACACGCTGGCCACACCCACACCCAGTTTAGCGAAGGGGGGGAAGTCCCCCCCAATAGGTCATGTGACACCGCCATGACAACACGAGTTTGACACAGTTTTGGCTTGGTTTTGCATGGTTATACCTTGTATTTTATTTTCCTTTCTTTTCCTTTCTTTTTACTTTAGTTGATAGGGAGGGTGGCTCCATTTGCTGTAATCTGACCAGTGGCGGTGACAATTGTTATTATGCACAGAGCAATCATAATTGCATGTTCTCCATCATCATCGACTAGCCCAGGGATGGGCAACTGTAGCGCCTTTATGCCCTGTGAACCTCAACTCCCAGAATTCCTGAGCCAAGATGGCTGACTCAGGAGTTCTGGGAGTTGAGGTCCACAAGGCATAGAGGGGCCATAGTTGTTTACTCTTGCACTAGCCATTTCTGGCTAAGGCCAGTGACAAAATCGGAACTGGATTTCTTAATCATTAATCATTCTTAATCAATTACCCACTCCCTTGCAGCCATAGTAGAAAATTAAGTTTATCAATCATTTCCTTCCATTTCATCACCCCCTCCCCCATTTCATAACCAGGCCTTTTGTCTTTCATTCAGACTATTTTCAGACAGGGGTTTAGCACCCTTTCAGAAAAGTGGTAGACCCATATTCAGAAATAGGCTGAGGGACACGTCATATGCCTGGGCACCTCTGCCACTGTGCCAAATATGTCATTTCAAGCACATTCTTATATGCTCAAGCCTGCCCCTTTTTAAGGAGTGTGATTTAGCGGTTTACTTTTGGTGGGAGGAGAAATGAAGTTTATTTATTTTTATTTATTTTACAAGAATCTCTTCTTGAAGCACCTCTGAATGGTCTACAAGTTAGGAAATCAATCAATCAATTTAACTTGCCCCCCCCATTAAATCCCTACGGATAGCAACCATTGATGATTTTGTTCATAGGACTAAGCAGGGGTCAGCAAGAAGGGGAGGCACAATTTTTAGAGCTTCTCTATCTCATTATGACTACCAAAATCAGTGAATGTGTTCCTGCCAGCTGGTAATGTTGGGGGTAAAAAAGAAACCCAATCATACTTCTTACACATATGTAAAAGAGGTGGTGCTTTGATGACATGATTATGACTGCCATCTTGATTTTGCTGATCGTCTTCATGCAGACCCCAATCTCTGCACTGGAGAAATAGTGGCTTGACCGAGGTCATCTAGTGCATTGCCAGCTGAGACAAGATTTTAAGATGCCAGATCTCAAGCCCTTAGGCTGAAATGCTCTGCCCTTTTATACATGTCTGCCACTTCAACCAGATGCCTCTAATTTGTGGCCTGTCAACTCCTTCCAGCCAACCTAACCAGGTCATTTTTTGATGGTCTGCAACCATCGAGGTAGTCCTTAATTTATGACAATTGAGATCAGAATTTTTGTTGTTAAGCTAGGTTGTTAGTAAGTTGCACCCAATTTCACAATCTTTTTTGCCATGGTTGTTAAGCAAATCACTGCCGTTGTTTAAAATGGATCATGTAATCATGAAACAAATCCGTCTTCCCTCATTGACTTTGCTTGTCGGAAGCCGGCTGGGAAGGCTGCAAATGGCAGTCACATGATCCCAGGAAGCTGCAACCCTGGTAGGTAGTTGCCAAACACCTGGATTTTGATCATGTGACCATGGAGATGCTGCAATGGGCAAAGTGCGAGGACCGGTTGTAAATTACTTTTTTCAGTACTCTTGTAATTTCGAATGGTCACTAAACAAATGGTTGTAAATTGAGGACTAACTGAATTTGAAGGTGAATGTTTCCTTGTCAGTCATGACCAACTCTCAATTTCTTAGCCAAGGGAGCCAGCATCATCCAAAGACAATTCCCATGTCACGTGGCCAGCATGGCTATACTCTGAAGTGGTTCCTATTAATCTACTCCCATCTGCATGCTTTTGAACTGGGAAGGAACTGGGCCAAGTAATGGGAACTCACTCCATTGCGTGAAGTGTCGGGTCTCAAACCTCGGCTGTCAGCTCTCCAGCTGACAAGCTCAGTGTCTTTAACCACTGAGCCATTTTGTCCCCTTATCTGTATTTAACAAAGTATAAAATGGGAATCTGACAATTGCAGCTTTGCCTGACCCTCCAAGTCATTTCCGTAATCTGCCAGCATTCTAAATATACTAAAAACAGGGGTGGCTGAGAAAGGGGGGCACATGCAAACGGGGTGCTGGTAGAAGTGGAAGTGTCAAGGAAAAATGCTGCCCTCCCCTGAAGAAATCCAAATTTGACAATGCTTTCATGGCAAACTGGGCTTGTTTGGCTCACTGCTGCTCAGCTAGCCTTGTCCTGATGCTGCAATGCTTGCTGTGCTCACACCATTACTCATGCGAGCTCTGATTTACATCACACACACCCTTTGCACCACTTCACAACTCTCAAGCCATCCCAGAGGGTTGAGACAGCCACAGTAAGGGAGGGGAGAGCCACAAGAGCAGAGGGACCAGATCCACTAGGACAGATGGATGGGGCACACTTGGTCACAATCAAGTGAAGGTCTGCCCTGCTCAGATCCAGACATCAACTGAATCTGGGTTGGGTAGATGTCCCAATCCACTAGCTGAGAGGTGGCCAGAGGCAGTGTTTGGTTTAATTACCAATATGATACTCAGCACAGAAACCTGGCTCCATTTTTTATGGATTGATTGATTTCTATCTTGCCTTTATTCTTATCCAACTCACAGTGGCATGCATACACTGTGGTTCCCATGAGGTGGGTTGGGCTGAGAGAGGGGGACTGGTCCAAAGTCACCCAACTGGCTTTCATGCCTAAGGTGGGACTAGAACTCACAAACTTCTGGTGATTCGCCCAAAGTCAACCAACTAGCTTTCATGTCTAAAGTGGGACTAGAACTCACAAACTTCTGGTGATTGGCCCAAAGTCACCCAACTGGCTTTCATGCTAGAACTCATAGGTTGCTGGTGATTGGCCCAAAGTCACCCAACTGGCTTTTATGTCTAAAGTGGGACTAGAACTCACAAACTTCTGGTGATTGGCCCAAAGTCACCCAACTGGCTTTCATGCCTAAGGTGGGGCTAGAACTCATAGGTTGCTGGTGATTGGCCCAAAGTCACCCAACTGGCTTTCATGCCTAAGGTGGGAATAGAACTCATAAGTTGCGGGTGATTGGCCCAAAGTCACCCAGCCAAAGTCACCCAGGGAGTGGTGGAACTAGAACTCAGCTGGTTTGTAGCCCAGCCCCTTTACCAATACAAACCAATTTAGGTAAGTCCTATATTCTCTGATGTGCATCCCAGCCATAGGGGGCTTAGTGCCCAGGTCCTTGATCGTTGCCCCTTATGCACATGGCAGATTTCTCTCAAATGATATAGACAAACCATTGGCAAACCAGGATTACACCTAAACGCTGTGTGGAAATCCAGCAGGTTTGGAGGGGGAGAGATTCCCCTCCTGCCATTCTCTGTCAGTTGCCTCTGACTTGCCAGTTGCCCTGAACTGTTTCTGGAAAATCCAGGCAGGGCAAGAAAGTTGGTAGTCTCCCTCTCTCTCCCTTCCCCCACCCCCCAATGCCTCTCTTTTAGTACATTTGGTGTCCTTTTCCTCAACTGCAAAGTATGCAAGTACTTTTTCTCATCTGTGAAAATTAACAACTGTATTGAAGCTGACTCATAAACATTTGTAAGTGACTTAGAAGAACTCAAAATACAGGTCATCACCATAAAGTTGGGAGAGGCAGGTTTGCAACCTTAACTTTGCTGAGCAGGTGACAGCAAAGGGTTAAGGTAATACCTTTTGTGGTTGTGGTTGTTAAAATCTTGGAAATGATGGAGATGGGCATCTGATGTGGATAAAATAATAACGGCAAGGAATGCATTACAGGCTGAGATTTCTGTCCTTTATAGAATGGATAGAATCTGTATTATATGTGCAAGACCTTTCCCACAATGGACTTGTAATTGTGTGAATGGCTTTAAAAATGAAAGGTGGGCTGAGATATAAGTTAGGAACCTGGAGGTATTTATGGTGCACAGGAACATATACTGTATGTAGAGCATTAACTCTTTTCTTCAGCTGCTGTGCTGATTTGGCTCGCCTCTCCAATATGCACCTAATATTAATTGATCCATTGATAATGCTGGGAATCATATCATGTCTAGATGTCTTATCTACTTACTGAGGATATTTTCTGTGTTCTCCGTAACAAGGGGCCCTTCAGGATCAGGGTCAGGCCTCGGCTCGAGGAAGTATTCTGAAGCCACACAGCTGCCTTTTTTCTGACCTAGAAAGAGAAACAAGGCATAAAACTTCAGACTGAACCCTCAGCAAGTTTAAGAAGTGTGGACTTCAACTCCCAGAATTTCCCAGCCAACACAGCTGGAGATTCCCAGGAGAACTCTGGGAATTGAAGTCCATCCCTCTTACAGTTGCTGAGGTTCAGGTAACACTGGTATAGGACCTTCAGGGAAGAAATGGTGCCTTTGTAGAAGGAAGTCCCAAATCAGCAAGGCCGAAATTACTATGTAAGATAAGTCAGCTCAGAGCTAGTACCAAGCAGGATGCCTCTGACCATATCCAAAGCCTTTCTAAGATAGAGGAGAAAGAGGACAGTCAGTTTTTGTTCTGTTGTCCATAACGTGATCCTGTGGCTCCAAGAGCCATCCTGGAGGAGGTGCAACTCTCAGGGAGGCTCAGCCAATCTCAATGTACGCATGTTGTACTCTGACAATAAAGGTTTGAATTTGAATTGAATTGTAACTCTTTTCTTTTACTATTTTATCTCGGGATAAAAATTAACCAATGGTCCCATACATGCATCTCTAAGGATAGGAGAGCATAAAGGAGGTGGGTGGAGACAAGTGGGGATCCTTTTTAGTGAGTGCCACAAAAGATCAGATCCTCACAAATCCTCTCGTGAAGGTCCAACTGAACTAATTATGCCTATGCACAAGAATCTTCTCAACTAAAGGTGAATATCTGTTTGGGTTAAGGTCAACAGAATTCAAGGAAGGTTGGGCTTAGTTCACTAATAGTTATGTAGGGATTCTAGGCTGGTCACTTTTAACTCCTCCCCCAGATTCTGCCACTCCTTGTCCTACATTACTTCAATAGCTTCCTGGCAGCTGGTACAGCCAGTTAACCCTCTCCTTCTACCGTGCCACAGGAAAGGGCCTCTGGATCAAGGAACAAGTAGCCAAAGTCCCACGTTCCAAAGGAGCATTGGGCAGAGGTGAAATGCTCCTGGTTTGGACCGGATCGCCCGATCCGGTAGCGATGGAGGTGGGTGGTTCGGAGAACCGGTAGCTAAAATCCCTGCCCCCACCCCAATGCCCAGCTGAGCTACACAATCATCAGAGGGTTTTTTTTACTTTTAAAAGCATTTTTTCTACAATCTCTTTGGCCAAAAAATGCTTTTAAAAGTAAAAAAACAAAAAAAACCTCTGATGATCGTGCAGCTCAACTGGAATCTTCAAAGGCTTTTAAAAGAAAAAACCCTTTTTTTCTTTTAAATGCCTTTGACGATCCAAACTGAGTTGCCTGATTGGCAGAGGCTTTTTTAAAAAGCCTCTGCCGATCACGCAACTCAGCTGGGATCGTCAGAGCCTTTTGGAAGCATTTTTTTACAACCTCTTCGCCAAAGAGGTTGTAGAAAAAATGGTTTTAAAAGTAAAAAAAAAAAAATTGGCCACGCCCACCCAGTCACATTACCCCCCACCAAGCCACGCCCACAGAAACGGTAGTAACAAATTTTAGATTTCATCACTGGCATCGGATATGCATACGCACTGCTCTGTTCATGAAATCTAGTCGTTCAGATGTTAAACCAGCGCTGGAGACTCAGATTCAAGTTCTACTTCCAACCATGGAAGTTCAGTGGGTGACCTTGGGCCACTCACTCTTCCTCAGTGGCCCCTTCACCTCATAGGAATATTGTTGTGGAGCAAAAAAGGAACTAGAGGGGATAGGACTTTGTGCTCCAGGATAACAATCTAATAAGGAAACTAATGAAGAAATGTCTCTTATGTTCATTGCACTGTTCCATACCCCTTACCTTAGATGTTACAAAGCTATATTATCATTACCAATAACATTGATTGATTCATTCATTCATTATGTGCCATCAAATTCTTTTACTCTGTGTGTGTGTGTGCGCACGCGCACACATTGTGCACGTACACACACATACACTAAAACTCTCATTCCTGTAACCCAGAGGTCCCCAAACTTGGGAGCTTTAAGACTTGTGGACTTCAGCTCCCAGAATTCTCCAGCCAGCATAGCTTGTGAAGTCCACAAGTCTTAAAGCTCCCAAGTTTGGGTACCCCTGCTGTAACCTTTAACTTGGCCAAAACAGTGTCTCATAGGGCAACAATCTTTGAACCGAGGTACTTGAAATGGGTTAACTTACAGAACATGTCCAAAATCTGGGACCCAGGACTCCCATTCAAATGAACTTTGGCAAATTTTGTAAAACATTTTATGACACAAAAATCACCATGAAACAGTTTATGGTATAACACAAAATGTTGCAAAACATTTTCTGTGCTGATGTTTGTGCTACACAGTTCAACATGGGCTGTTTTCAAGACAGACGCATCTCTGAATGCATTTCCAATGAAGGCAGTGACTTAGAAATTCTGTCACTGTTAAAAACTCTGAAAAATCTGGTGAGGAAATACTTCTGAAAGGATGGCCCAATGGGTCACAGAGTTACTAGTGTAGGTAGTCCTTGATTTACAACCACACATGAGCCCAAAATTTCCGTTTTGGGCAAGGCAGTTGTTAAGTAAGTTCTGTCCCATTTTAGGGCCTTTTTTGCCATAATTGTTAAGCAAATCACTGCAATTGTTAACGAGAATCATGCAGCCATTAAATGAATCTGGCTTCGACCCATTGATTGCTTGTTGGAAGCTGACTGGGGAGGTTAGAAATGGTGATGACGTCACCAGGAGGCCATGCAACTGTCATAAATACATGCCAGTTGCCAAGCAGTCAAATTTTGATCATGGGCTGCAATGGTAAAAACTGGTCACAAGTCACCTTTTTTTCAGTGCTTCAGTGGTTGTAAATCAAGAACTACCTCTATGTTAATAAGAATTTGAATGATGGTATTACTACGTATACTTAAATAATATGGTGACTGGCATAAAAATAATATATCGAACTATTGATTAAATAAATAATGAAACAATGAAAGATTATAACTTGGCATGAATAGATGTTTACTAAATGTAACAAATATAATCAAAAATACTTTATTTGTATTAAAATGTATGACATGCAGAATATGGTGATTGATGTAAAAATAACATTGAATAACTAAATAATGAAGGATTATGTTGAACAAGCAAATAATGGAAGATTTCAATGTTTGTACTATTGTTAGAATTATATAAGCGTGTTAAAAGTAATAAATATGATTAATAATATTCTAATTGTATTAAAAGGTATGATACAGGGTGAGTGGCATAGAAATGACACATTGAAACATTGAGTGATTGAAAGATTATAATTTAATAAAAATGTGTGTATTAGTACAAGGATTATATAAGCTTGTTAAATGAAACAAATATGACTAATACTATTTTATTTGTATTAAAATGTATGATGCTCAGATGTCACACTGTTCACACATTGATGTGTTTGTAAAAAATAAAAAATAAAAAACTTTAAAAAAAGAACTACCTCTATGCATTTTATTTTATGTATCTAAATCAGTGTTTCTCAATCTCAGCTCTCTTAAAATGTGCAGACTTCAACTCTCAGAATCCTTTAGCCAATTGGCTGGGGAATTCTGGGAATTCATGCATCTTAAAGTTACTGAGATTGAGAGAGACCAATTTAAGCCTTTATCACCAAAGTGTTGGAAATGCAACCATGAATTAATCATAATCATCATAATCATAAGTTTATTTGTCAAGCATATATAAGATAACAGGCAAAAGTATAAACATAATTTGAATACATGAAAAGAGTAAGTAAAAAGGAATATTAGGACAGGGATGCTAGGCACGCTGGTGCACTTATGCACACCCTTTACAGACCTCTTAGGAATGGGGTGAGGTCAACAATAGACAGTTTTAAGGTTAAGTTTTAGGGGTTTGGGGAAGAAACTACAGAGTCAGATAGTGCATTAGGCACGTACTATCATACGTGGTGGTTATTAGGCACATACTATCATATGTGGTGGTTATGTAAAAAAGCAAAGGAGTATTGGTGGAAGATTTATTTATGGTTGGCAAAAATAATTGGAGAAGAAATAGAATATAAACCAGAACTATTCCTATTGGGAATAATAAATGGGAAATACAGTAAAGGGGTAACTCACTTAATAACACATATTATAATAGCAGCAAGAATGAGTTTTGCCCAAAAATTGGAAAAAAAACCTCTAGAAGATGAAGTGATCAAATTTTTTTTGACATGTGCGGAAATGGATAGATTAACCTTGGAATTGAAAAATAAAGGCGAGTCAGAATACCACGAGATATAGAACAAATTTTGTCAATGGTTGGAACAGAAAAGAGGGTTGAAAAACAAGAACTGACTAGAATTCATAAAATGGAGAATTAAAGTTATGTATGTAACTATAATAGAATGATAATGGATAAAACAAATGTATAAGTACTATAGAAAGAAGAAGGATGTCTTTATATATGTAAATACTGAACAGACTAATTGTATATAAGGTACATATGATACTTATCTTTCATTTTAGTATGTATGGCAAAGAGAATGCCAGGATGGTTACACCGTGTCCAATGTTTTAATATGTGTGTAATAAAACTTTAATTAAAAAAAAAGAGAGAGAGAGGCCAATTTAAATGTATTTTTGTTTGGAGAGGGGTCTGCAGTCTGTCAAAAGGGATCCATGGCACAAAAAGGATAATACTCCGTGGTTTAGAGGCAAGAATAAAGGGGGATATCATTGCATAGGAAAGACAAGATAGCTAAATGTGCATGGATGGATAGTTGAGTTGCACAATTTAAACAAATGCAGTATTTGCAATATTTCTAGCATTATTCAATGAAAAGAAGACAGGCAGACCTTCTCATTCCAAGACTCTTAATGAATTCTTCTCTCTTGGAAATAATATACCCCTAAAGTCAATTCTGACCTGCCTCCCCAGCCTGACAGCGGTAATATCCCTCCCCTGGTTCTATCCGGTTCGCTGAACCGGTAGCATCGGTGGCAGGAGGCTCCGCCCACCTGCCGGGATATCATTACATTCCTTTTTTACCATCTGCACATAACGTGCGCGCGCTCCCGTTCCCGAACCGATAAGGTAAAGGCAAAGGTAAGTGGATTTCACCGCTGCAGCCTGATTAGCATGGCTTGGAATTCAGAACCAACTTTTAAAGCTAAATTTAGGTGAATGAAGAACCTGAAGAACCTTGTCAAGAGCTAAACTGCAGACCACTCCAGACCTTCTGGGAAGAACCACATTTCTTGGGTTTCCACATTGCCCAATGATTTCAACTTTGCATATAGTCAACCAGAATTAAGTTGATTAGAATATGAATGTTGCCCTTCAGTCAAGGCATTGTTTTGCTACTCTAGCTATCAAATGTTGATCTGTTGTGAAATTACCAGCTAGGTTGGAAGGAGGAGTCAAGAAAGGGCCTAGCTTGGAGTCTTTCTGCAGCCGCAAGCAGCATAAACTAGACCTTCCTCAAGATCCACGAAGCCTTATCTGGTTGTTCCCAAGACAAGAAGTCTGGTGAGATTCTTGCAACATAGGTGGTAGACAATAAAGTTACTGATTCTCGCTATTCACGAGTGGCTCCGGTTGCTTGTATCTGGTATGATCTGAAGAATATAGAGGAATTTAGAAAATGAGGACACTCGAGTCCAGTTTAGTCCTGAGGTCCTAAGATGGAAATACTAAGACTGGTCCTAAGATACGGTCCTAAGAGTCATAAATGAAAGCAGCATTGCAAGAGAGACCTCAGACCCTTACCTGCAAAGAAGCAAACCCTCCAGAGGCCAGCATGGAGTGCCATGACTATTTCCGTGGTCTGGTTTTGCGGAAACACAATCCCTTCCTCCATGAACAGCCAATAGTCAGTACTGACAGCAATGCCCACCAGGAGCAGCCCACACGCTCCAAAAACACTAGACAGCAGGGTCAGGGCGCGACTGCTGCAGTTACTCATCCTAGGTGGCAGAGAGAGCGACTGGCCAAATGCAGCGCAAGGACCTGGAAGAGAAATAAACCCCAATCAATCCAAAACTCCTGGGGAGTACTAAAACCAAACCAGACAGACAACAAACAGAATAACAGAGTTGGAAGGACCTTGGAGGTTTTCTAATCCAACCTCCTTCTCAAGCAGAAAACCCTACACCATTTCAGACAAAAAAACTTGTGATTTTTACTAGACTATTTGTTGCCCGTTTTTGAATCAAATGTGTTGGTTCCCAGAGATCTCCAGAACTGCTGGTTCTCAAATGCTTTTATGTTGTCTTGGATAATTTGAGCCACCAAATTCGTTAAAATTTTCCCCAGGCCCCAAGGAGCCTGATACCAAAATTCTGAAAGGATGGTCTCTCCTCTACATTTTTCTGACTTGGAAAGGTTGAATATTTGACCAAGAAATCCAGGTCAGTGGTAAAGCTTCCTTCTGTAATATGTACTAGAGCAGGCTTCCCCAAAAATGGGAAGCCTTGATGAACCAGGATTACAAATCCCATAACTTCTAGGCTCCCAGGATTTGTATTTATCAATACAGGGTGCAAAAATCCTATGTCGCCATTTGGCAAGAAAATACTCGGAATGGCTCCATGTGGTTTGAAAATTCTTCTTAGGAACCCGGTTTTTCTGCCTCTGGTCTCTTATTGTTCTCATGTGCCAGGAATTTTAGATTCTAGTCTTGCATATTAAAGTGACAAATTCCTCCCATACCAATAAAACGGAGGAATTATGATTGCTTGTATTCAGCCCAACCAATTTTCTGACATTATGCAAGTATCATACAGGAGTCATTTTCCAATACAAGATTTCTGCTTCTTTTTGAAAGAGTAATCTGATATCTATCAAGCTTTGCTATTTAACCTATGGCTGGCTCTAAATTTGGCAAAGTGTTTATGGATGAAGCCCCTTCACAAGTTTGGCTGGTCATGTTAGTTGCAGTGGTACTGACAATCATGCTGTATTGAATAACATTAGGCAACTAGATCTGAGAACACCATTTTCTGATTTCCTAAAACATTTCTAAATGTTGTTTCCATTGTGGGAAAACTAAATATGATTGCTGAATCCAGTAGCTGGATGTTGACTGGAATATCTCTTACATGTATAAAAAATAGCATTTCACCAGTATGTAACATTGTGGTAATAGTTTTGCTGAATTGTCTTTGAAAAATGTGACTTTTCCAGCTCTCTTTCTATCTGTCCATCCATCATCATCATCATCATCATCATCATCATCATCATCATCATATCTCTCTCTCTCTCTGTGTGTGTCTGTCTATCTATCTGCGTCTATCTATCTATCTATCTATCTATCTATCTATCTATCTATCTGTGTCTCTCTATCTACTTACCTATCTACCTACCTACCTACTTTGTACACCACCCATCTTGTCAGAGGAGATTCTCTTAAACAAATCCCCTTCCAAAAACACAGGAGTCTTGGACCATATGTAGAAAACACATTTCTCAATGGATTGTATTGTAAATAGCAGTAAAATGATCTTCTATATGGAGAAGACCCTAAATTTCTTATAGTTTTTCTGAATATATGTTCAAGTGCAGGATAGATTATTTCAGTCCTTTATTAACATAAACACTGTAGGACCATCTTGAGTTCATGCTTGTTCCAGCCAATAAAATAATCAATTCCTATATAGCTAATATTGACCAACCCAAAGATAAGCCATGTTCCTGAATCAAACAGTGTGCAATACAGCAGAAAGGATCCTGTATACTGTAGCCTGAACTGTGAACTACTGTATGTTGTCCTTGCAGTTTAACTCCTAAGACAAGCTTCAACAACAAAACCTCCTGAAAACCTTCTAGGAACACAGATGGCAAGGGTGAGGAGAACACAATATAGTCTTTTTCTCTGTTTTCATCCCTTAAGGAGGATATTAAAGACCAGAATTTGAGAGCAGTATTTGATTAGTGTGTGGGAAGACAGGTTTCACACTCTATTATAAAAATATTTTTGCAGAGGGTTGGTGGACCAGGAGTAGCAACAGAGTTTTTGTAACTTGGCACAATCTGTTGAAATTTAGTCCAATAAGAGGATCATCTGCCAAGCTCAACCTTCCACGTTTCTGCTCTTGTTCCTTGACCTCATGAATTGCACTTACTTGCCTTCTCCAGAAATGTGAGCCATGACAAGAGTGAGTAAAAGGAACATTTTCCACTTAGCCTCCTTCTAATGGTGGAGAGAAACCACCAAGGAGAACCTGCCCAATTTCCTCTCTCCACACTTTCATCTGACACTTGTCAGGCAAAGGATTAGGACCATAAATTAAGTTGCAATTCAAAAAGGATTTACTGCTCAAGCCTACACACAAGAATCTAATCAATTAAAGTTTAACATTTTATTGGCACCAAATAAGGGTCAACGGAATTCAAGAGGGGTTGAACTTGGACCATTTATGACAACTTATTGACTCTAAACTGATGACGTGCTTAGCTCTGCCCCCCAGCTCTGCTTGCTCTTCTCCTACACACTGGAATTATGAGGGAAGAGTGCCTGTTAACAGTTTGATAGAGAATTTCTGCCAAAGATCTATCTGGTGATTTGAAAATAATATGTGAATGCCACTTTTTTTCCCCTTTCTATTCAATATCATGTCTTAAGATGCACTTCTTTGGAAGTTCTGCATTATTGCATTTCATAGTTCAAATTCAGAGAGTAGGAACACCACACATGCTTAGTTTCCCTTGAGATATTATGTGTCTGAAACCTAACAGGAACAACTTGTGTTTCAGAAATAAAACTCTGATTCTAGACTTCCTTCAACTATCCCGATTTTCATCCGGCACATTTTTAACAAGCTTCTTCCTCCTCCCATGGCACCCTACCAAGAATTTCAAAAACCAGGATTTCTATGCTTTCTTATGAATATTTTATAGTTTTAGCTATATAAAAATGCTTTTAAGAAGCTTAATCTCTTTGGTTTATTTCTCTTTGTAGAAGGTGGAGACACAGAAAGGTTTTTTTTCATGGAACATTCGTGCCCATGATTAACTGAATCATGATTTTCTGGATTGGGCCAATTATCTGGGATTGGATAGTATTCTGAACTTTCTTTGTAGAAGATGGAAATTTAAGATCTTGCCCACTATTTTTGTGGTTCAATGTGCCACATGAAAACAGTCAAAATGTAATTACCACTTATTCTCAGGCACCTGAGTACAGGGTTTCCCAACCTTAGCAATAGGAAGATGAGTGGACTTCAATTCCTAGAATTCCCCAGTCAGCATGACTGCACCAACCTCCTTCAACAATATGGACCAGGTGCCTTGCCTCATTTTCCTCAGTAATACGAATATTACCGAGCCTTGATTTTATTTTATTTTATGGTCACAAATTTATAATTCTCTTCAGGATATAATTTTGCACTTTCAACATCTAACATCATCTCCACTTGCAATGCAGTTTTCAAGAACTTTTCCTTGCTCATATCTACTGGGGTTTCTAATTATGTTTTTCATTTGTGGCATTGAGATAAAAAACCCCTCCTCCCCAGAATACAATTATCTGTTATCATATGTGTACATAAGATAGAAAAGTAGAATTTGGGCTAGATAGAGGACCAGGGGAGAATGGCAAAGAATCCACGCATAAACGGACTTGCAGCCCCCTTGAGGGGACTCAAGGATGAGATAGGGTCTTGTCTGTAACAATGGCCCTACTGCCTTCTTATACATTGTTTATAATTCCTGGCAGTGTGGCATTACCCCAGCTGCTAGCTGAGAAACTTCATCTGATGTCTCCCATCTGCAATGAGTTTATTTTGGTTACAGAAGGTGACACAATACCCAAACCATCCTACACAAACCCTGTTCCAAATCAGCACATACACGCACACGCATATAACACAATCAGGCACATAACTCTGTGTGTGTGCGTGCGTGCGTGCGTGGAGCAGTATATGTGTGAAGAAAGTGGAGGATTATATCAGCTAGTGAGAAAAGAGATATGTATGTTTATAGCCAGAGACCAAGGTATGGATGAACAGACAATCAAGTTCAGACAAATATATACGTATGCTTCAATGTACAGGGATATTTAAAGGGATGGATGATACTTGGGAAGATAGCTTTTTTGCTAGAAGGTTACAAATAGAAGAGACAGTAATCTTAAGAGATGCTTATTCTGGATTTCTTGCTTTGCCCATTTCCATTCCTGGGTAACTAGATGATTGTAGAGGAAGACTGAAATGTAAATATTTAAGAGAATATTGGGCACTTTAGAAAACATCCAGAAACAGAATGGATTATTCATAGAGACAGTCCTAATTTACAACAGTTCATTTAATGAATATTTGAAGTTACAACAGCACTGAAAAAAAGTGACTTATGACCGTTTTTCACACTTATGACAGGTGCAGTATCCCCATGGCCACGTGACCAAAATTCAGACACTTGGCAACTGATTCATATTTATGACAATTGCAGTGTCCCAGGGGGATCGCCTTTTGTGACCTTCTGACAAGCAAAGTCAATAGGGAAGCCAGATTCACTTAACATCCGTGTTACTAACGTAACAACTTTGGTGGTTCACCTAACTGTGGCAAGAAATGTTATGACATGGGGCAAAATTTATGTAACAGCTGTCTCGCTAAGCAACAGAAATTTTGGGCTCAATTGTAGTCATAAGTTGAGGACTACCTTATTGCTTTGCATTACTTACTGTCAGGGTTTTTAATAATTATCTACCTGCTTGTTAACCTGTCTTCCCTTACAATTTGTTGTGTGCAATTTACTACTCTCTGTGTCCAAGATAGGACAGATTAAACATTTAAGAGACAAAACATGTCCAAAAATGTTCACCTATAAACCAGTCCCTATGATTAAATATTACATGCATATGGTTTGTGTATGATGTTAATCACCCATGATCTATTTCTCCATGATTTATCACCTACTGTGCTTGACAGCATTCACCAAGCAGACTAAGCAAAACCCCAAAACATATGCACAAGATCTGTTGACAACAACCGGCACATGGAAATGGTCTGGGAACTATGCCACCTTCCATTGGACATTCATCACTTCTGTAAATGTTGGCCTACACAAACGTGGTTTTTTTTCACACACTATGCCCAGTGGGATATGTTAACACAATTAAATACACATTCTGAAGCACAAGCCATATACTTTCAAAATTCTGGTATCCATATGCAAGAAACTTTGATCCTGTGTTCAATTAACCACTTTAGATCTCTCCAACTGGATACTCCCCAGATTTGTTCATCTCTCATTGGCCCAACCAGTAGGGTTGCAGGACATTGGATTGGGCAGCGGTTGGACTAGAAGACTTCCAAGGTCCCTTCCAACTCTGTTATTCTATTATATATTTTGAAAGAATAGGAGACTTTAGTGCCTTTGACTATTACTTTTCCGGAATGAAAAATATCAAGATGTTATGGATTTGTTTCAGATTCTCTTAACAATCAGTGAAAACAATAGGGCAGTTGCCAATGTATCCTAGAGCCTGGCCAAGTGATCTGCTTGGCATGGACCAAGCCATTTGTCTTTAGTGAGGGCAGCCATCTTTGCCAGCCTCACTCCTGGGTCTTCAATAGCAGCAGAATCCAAAAAAGTGTAACAAGTGAAACCTCTCCTTTTTTCAACGGAGGGAACAACTAAGCTATTAGCAAAGTTAGTGTGATAGATTTGTCTAGCTCACGGGTGTCAAACTCAAGGCCCAGGGGCCAGATTCGGCCCGCAGAGTGCTTAGAACTGATTCACGAGGCCCCCCTGGAAACAGCAAAGGACTGGCCCGTGGTGCCTCTGCCAGTTTTCACTGGCAGAGGGTTGCAGGAGGTCATCACAGCCAAAAATGGAGCTCACGAGCACCGCGGGCAGCCCTCTTGAGCTTCTTTTATGCTGGCAGAGGGTTGCAGGAAGCCGTTGCAGCTGAAAGCGGAGCTCGGGAGCCCATTTTCATTGGCAGAGTGCTCAGGCCACCACAGGTGCCCCTCCAACATGAGTGACATCAAGATGGCCATGCCCACCCTGGCCACGCCCACCACGCACCCAACCCTCAAAGTCAAACACAACCCTGATGCGGCCCTCAATGAAATCGAGTTTGATATCCCTGGTCTACCTGAAGCCAAGTGATGCTCTTCAGAGGTGTTGAACTCTCTCATCATCAAACAATGCTGGATAGGGCTAAATAAAATAAAAAAAGACTATGAGGTTGCAAAACCTAATTTTATTTATTTATTTAAAGGAGAAAGAGTTTCAAATCTGCCTCCAGTCACTAATGTTGCTGGATAATTCAGCCTAACCAGGCTGAGGTGAATAACAGTACATTGTGCTGAGCCCCTTGTTTGTGTGATACAATCAGAGTACAATTAATGTAAGCCTCTTTCACAGGTTTGTTTTTAGAATAAAAGGGGCGTACCTATGCCTAACCCATATGTTCTCCCCCAAGCTTTGAGGGGATGGGTTGTAACTGTAACACATTAGATATATAGGATACATCTCAGAGACGTTAAGGGACACCAAATGAATTTTGGTGGGACTAATGATTTTTTTAGGTTGGTGGGAGGTTATTTTTTTTTTTACTTCTCTATATAGAAATGGCATGTAGAAAATCCTATTTCCATCTTACCCATTGGTTTCCAAACTCAAAATGGTAAGCTCCATTTATAAGAAAGCATAAATGCCATTTTGGACTTCAAATCCCAGAATTCCCCAGCTAGCATACCATTTGTCTTAAAGTCACCAGGTTTGAGAAATACCTATTTAAGTCTCCCCTTTCACCCTAAAGAACACCTGTTTGTTCACCACCTCGGTTTATTTATGCCTTGACATCAGATGGGTCAGATAGGTGGAGCTGAGGGCTCCCAAATTAGCAAATAAGCCTTGGGTGTGTGTGGGGGGGTGTCTAGGTATTGTGCCTGATAAAGCTTTCCTCACCCTAACAATCTCCAGATATGTCAGACTATAGATGGACTTTTTATATTTAAATATACTGCTTGCCACTCAGAACAAGGTATAATTATGCTGAGCGTCTCTGTAAACATTCTACAATAAACGAACAAATTTCAATCCTCCTAGAGAACCTATTTCAGCCTATCCAAGAAGCTAAGTCTAGGAAAGTGAATTAGAGGGTCCTTTGTTTAAGACCAGCAATCTAGCCACTATGCTCTACTGCCTCCCACACAACCCGCTCAGCATCAAGGGAGGCATAATAACATTTCCTCCATCATCCCTTTCACTGCAATAAGATGATACTCTGGCTGCCTGATGCTCCAACTCACAGCATACTACTATTATTGTAGGAATGATGCTGTGCCTGACACAGATTCACAAAGGTAGTAAAATTAGCTCTCAGCCATCCTGCCTCCTATTTGGCTCTCGTGTGCTATGTCAGTCTGGTACTGATCTCCATCCCATCCCACCACCGGGAGCTTCTCCTTCCAGCCATAGCTATACCATCTTCACTTGTCAAGAAATACAAGATCATAGCCGTATCACCTCTGGAATCACCTGGAGAAATCCTGGGCTTCTTTTGTGTAAAATCGCCCAGTCTCTTAACAGTCTCCCCCAACTAAGCACCAACATGATTAACCTCAGTTTAGGTAGTAGGATACCATTCCAAAAATTGATGTTCCTCTGCTAGCAGGGTGAACCCCCCCCCCATAACCCCACCAAAGCAGAAAGATAGATAATTCACATGGATGCCTGTCTTGAAGGAAACTTCCCTATAAAAGACATTCTTCTGAAGAAGGCAATCAGCCAAAGAGGAGTGAGAAATGTGCTAAGCTTAAATCCATCAGCATATCCAGGACAGGATACACACATACATACATACAAAGATCATCCTTGTTCACTGTATAATATAGGGATCATCCTTGATAAATTATATGTGCCTGTAATAGAATATTAATAAGGGGCAGTAGGGGAGGTGGGGCTACCATAACCCCCGTGTTTGAAAAGATTTGTGCAATATGCGAAGACAAGGAAAATCGGAGTTAAGGGAAATCATGCAAAAATATCAGGGCATCGAGCAGAGAGATATACAATACCTGTGTGACATTATTCTCATACACAGATTAATGCTTGGGAAAAAAATGAGGAGAAAACCTTCTCTATTAGTTTCTTAGTCACATGCATATACACACACACACACACACAGACAGACACACTCAGACACACACTGCACTATAGTGCAAGCATCCTCAATCTTATATTCTTTAAATGTGTTTGGACCATAACTTCCAGTATCTCTGATGATCAGCCTCCAATGATTGGGATGGGGGTCATGGAAGCCCAACCAATAGATCTGGAGGCTGGAGAAGGCTGCCCTGATGCACCACCCAGAGAAAGGTGTTAAACATTCTTGCATCCTCTCTTAGCCTGTCCTACTAAATCTGCACAACACACTAGCACAACCTCAGAAGCGGGCTGAACACTTCAGTATTACAGGAAACCAGTGTCATGTTCTGCCTGAAATCACAGATTGCCTGCCTGCCTATCAGTGAGGAGCTGAAGAAATCTATGTATGACACCAATTCTGTCCCCTGCCCTAATACACACACACACAAACACACACACCTAGCCCTGTTATGCTCTTGTAGCATAACAGACACATCCTATCATTCTGGCCCTAGAACACCACAATAGAAGTATGAATCTCGGACAAGAAATCTTACACTCTTGACACATTGATTATCTTTCTTAGCAAGGTGGGGAAAACAGTGAAGATATTTTCTTCAGCAGCAGCATCAAGTTGATGACAATTGGTCCAAAGATGGTTGTTTTAAAAACCAAAGGTGGGCAGGTGCTGTTTTTACCCATGCACATTTTCACGAAAGCCAGAGAGGAAACAGAATTCCCAGCTGCAATGGGAATTTTATTCAGACTCAATGAAAATTTGCACTTTTAGGAATAGATGGTTGTCCCAAGCAGGCAATACGGATGTGTAGTGGCAAAGAAAGTTGTCACCTGCAGTATCCCACAATCTTAGACTGGGATTATTATTCCAATAATTACCTGCCTTGTACTTCAGCACCCACTATCCAAAAGCAGACTTACGACAACTCTATGAGCATATAGCCGCCAGCCACACACTTGCTATCAGGAGGGAATTAAAAGGTGCAGATATTTCAAGTTGAAGCCAATTCCTTAAAAGAAAAAGAAAAAGAAAAAAAAAAGAACGAAGGATTCAAGACCCCAACCATTACACACCTGTCACATATCTAGGTAGTCCACAACCACCATTGCACTGTTTAGTGTGAGAAAGGCCACAAGCTGGCAAAGCAGCCAAAGTTGTACAAAGTAGCACTCAGCCCCAAAGGAAGAAATAAACAAGGGGATACTTTCCGAAGATCAGCAAGGGCAGTGGGGTGGGTGATGGGGTTGCCCATGCCACAGTTTTCCAGTATATACAGAACTCTGATCTCTGAAGTTCTGCCTGGCATGCTGATTTATGGAGTGACACCGGGCAGGCTGCACAGTTCCAAGGCATGAATGCAGAGGGGCACGCACGCACTTCCCCCTCCCCCTTCCCCCCTCAGAACCAGCAAGGCCCGAAGGGAAGCCGGCCCAAGGAAGGCAGGCTGTGATTCTCAAGTAATAGGCTTGGCCGACCACGGCAGGGATCGGCCGGAAGGGCAGCCGCACGTCTCACCTTGCGGTTAGAACGCCACGGGGGCTCCGGATTCCTCGCTCGCCTTCCCCCGCACCTGCATCGCTCCCCTGCTTGTTACTTCGCCTTGTTTTGCACTCCGACGTCGGCGGCGGCCGGGGAGGGGAGCAAGTTGGGGGAAACCGCCTTTTCCCCTTTTCTGGGAGGGGGCGGCGGAATGGGGACCCCCGGCTTCAAGGACCGGCCCTCTGCAAGCCCAAAGGCCAGGGGTCTATTGCTGGGCGCCCCATCCAGAAGTTTGCTTCATTCCAAAGTGAGGAGGAAGGAGTATTTGAACGTGTGTGTGTGTGTGTGTGCGTGTGTGTTGTGGGGAGGGGGGAGGAGGAGGAGGAGAGAACGGGTGCAGCGTTTCGAAAGGGGCGACGGAATGGAAAAAGGAAACGCTGCAGCAATGGACAAGCGGGGGGTAAATCTCGATCGGGGAGCTGGAGAGAAGGAGGGGGGAGGGAGGGAGAGAGGGAGGGAGGAAGGAAGGAAGGAATGCAGCAGCGGGCAGGGAGGGGGGCAATGACAGAAGGAAAAAAAAGCAGCGAAAGAAGGCAGGCAGTGGCGAGGAAGAGGCGGCGGCGGCGGCGGGAAAGGGGACGGCTGCAGCAGCAACGGCGGCAGACTAAAAGCTGGCCGCCGAAGAGGGGACCGCTGGAGGACGAGGCGGAGGGGGGGGCGAGGCAGGAGAGCGGAAAGAGAGAGGGAGGGAAGAGAATGAATGCAGCGGGAGGAGGGGGCGAGAGGAGCAGCCGGGAAAGCCGCCTCAGCGGACAGAGGGGAGCGACAGAAGCCGGCGCCTAGCAAGCGAGCCTGCCGGCAGGTGGGAAGCACAAACGGGCGAGGAAGGAGGCGATCGCAGGTGGTCCAAAGGGCGACCAAAGCGACGCAATTGCAAGGGGAAGGGGAGGGAGGGAGAAACGCAGGAGGAAGAGGGGAAGGCTGGGGGGGAAAGCCGGAGAGAAAACCCAACAAGCCTCCAAAAATCGCAGCGGGGGGGAGGGGGGAATCGTCTGGGGAAACCGCGCGCGCGCGCGCACACACACACACACACACAGAGAGAGAGAAGAAAGGAAGAAAGGGAAAGCGCCGCAAAGAAAGACAAAAAGACCAATGGGTGGAAATAGCCTAGGCCTCTAAGAGCCCCAGAGCGTCCCGTTTCTTCAAAGGATCCCACCGGCGGAGGGGGCAACGGGGAGGCTCGGCTCGGCCAGTGGCCGTAGCGGTGAGCGAGATGGAGCTGAGCCGCAGCGGGGAGGGACAGGATGGCAGCTGCCGCCGCTACCGAGCTTGTCCTGGGGGCTTCGATCGGGCACTGGTGCCGCAGTCGGCTGCCGAGAGGCGGCTGGGCTGTCTGTGAGTCGGTTCCCCCGCTTTTTGGCGCACACGTACGCACACACACACACACACACGCGTGCTCACGGACCCACACACATACACACACAGAGAGACCCACACACCCAGGATGGAAAGCACAGGGCGCCCCCGCTGCCGGATCCCGCTGGATCACGGGATCCGCTTGGCTGGGAACTGACGAGGGGCGCGAGGAGAATTCACAATCACCCCCAGCTCAGCAGCACCCAGCCCGGCTCACTGCAGCTGGCCGTGATGTCAGAGGCACCACTCTTAAAGGGACCGACAGACCGGCTGGCGCTCGCAGGTTTGCCCGCTCAGCCGGTGTCTGACTCGGAGTGTGTGTGTGTGAGCGCGCGCCCGCGCGGAATTGGGGCGCGCGTTGAAACGCGAGTGGCGTTCTGAAGGGATCTAAAACGAGAGGGAAACGCAGACGACGGGAAAGACACGAGAGATCCCAAACTCAAGAGAATCTCACCAGATTTTGCCCATTGACTCTCACGCTCGTTTAATGTATGCGTCTGCTCAGCTGGGTCGTCTAAGAACTACTGCCGTGGAAATGCAAACGTCCGGGGATTCTGAATTATGTATATTATAGACTTCGTGCCTGTGTGTGTTTGTGTCCTAGCTCGCCAGCCATCCTGTAGTTTTGAAGTTAGGTCGGCTTCCCAGACCCCACATCACAAGCTCAGGTGTGTGCGCGCGCGCGCGTCTGGACCCCTGGAGGGATAGACAGACGATTGAAGCAAGAGAACGATTTCAGTCAGAGAACCTTTCAAACACTCGAAAAAGGCAGACTTTGGCAGCAAATCATTTAGAAAAGATCAAAAGCTGGACTGAAGGTTTAGCTAGTCTAATAACCTTTGAGAGAGGAAATTCTTGCCCTCCCCTGACTCCCTCCGTCTGATCTCTTTTGGGGAAAGTACTGATATTTAAAGGAGCTAGGTGGCTTTTAAGATCCCCTTTCTTCTTTCTATTTCATGTAAGAGAAACAATGGAGAGTGCCCTCAAATTTCGCTTTAATTGTGCCTTTACTCTATTGTTTCATTCACACAATTTTTGGGAGAGCCTCAGATATTGTTGTCTATAATTCCCCTTCACACTCTCTCTCTCTCTCTCTCTCTCTCTCTCTCTCTCACACACACACACACACACACACACACACACACTGGGTGGGGGAGATTGTCCTATTTATTAAAGTTGAAACTCTAGAACAGAGTTGTGGACTTCAACTCCTAGAATTCTCCAGCCAGCATAGCATAGCTGGCTGGAGAATTCTGGAAGTTGAAGTCCACAAGTCTTAAAGCTGCCAAATTTGAAGAACTCTGCTCTAGAAAGAGTGCAGAGAAAAACAACAAAGATGATTAGAGAGAGCTGGAGACTAAAACATATCATGAACATTTGCAGGAACTGGGTATGTCTAGTCTAGGGGGTGACTTGGTAGCAGCCATCCAATACTTGAGAGTTGTCACGCAGAAGAGGAGGTCGTCGGTCTATTCTCCAAAGCACCTGAGGGCTGGATAAGAAGTAAGGGGTGAAAACTTATCAAGGAGAAATCCAACCGAGACTAAGGAGAAATTTTCTGACCATGAGAACAATTAGCAAGTGGAACATCTTCAGAAGTTATGGGTACTCCATCGCTGGAGGTATTTAAGAAGAGACTGGACAGCCACATGTCTGGAATAGCATGGAGTTTCAAAGGGTTAGATTACAAGACCTCAAAGGTCCCTTCCAACTCTGTTATTCTGAAATTGTTATTCTGATCAGGAAAAGAAGGGTGGATGGGGATTAATAAAGAAGAAAAGCCAGAAGCATAACATACTTAATAAGAGCCCTCTGTCTCTTCCCCGTGGAGGGGAAATAAAGGTTTTATATAGATAGTCCTCAACTAATAGTTGTTAAGTTGGAAAACCAGCTGTTAAGTAAATCTGGCTTCTCCATTGACATTGCTTGTTAGAAGGTTGCAAAAAGTGACCACATGACCCAGGGACTCTGCAACTGTTATACTGCTACTCCATTATAATTAATATTGCTAGTCCACGTATGATATGCCATATGCTAAATGGATAATAAACTGCAACTCTCATAAACATGAGTCAAATTGCCAAGCCTGTCTGAATTTGTCCAGAAAAGGACAACCTTGACTTAACACTAATTTGTTTAGTGACCGTTCGAAGTTACAACGGCACTGAAAAAAGTGACTTATGACCGGTTTTCACATTTACGACCATCGTAGCATTCCCATGGTCACGTGATCAAAATTCGGACGCTTGGCAAGTGGCATGTATTTATGATATTTGCAAAGTCCCGGGGTCATGCGATCCAACTTTTGTGACCTTCTGACAAGTAAAGTCGGTGGGGAAACCAAATTCACTTAACAACCGTGTTAACAGCTGCAGTGACTCGCTGAATAGCTATAGCAAGAAAGATTGTAAGATGGGGCAAAACTCACATAATAACTGTTTTGCTTAGTAATGGAAATTTTGGACTCAATTGTGGCCGTAAATCAATGACTACCTACAACTCTAGATTAGGTCTTCAAGTAGTTTGCCAGAGAGAGAAAGACAAAGAGACTAGAAGAAAGAGAAAGAATATGATGGAGAGGTGCTTCCTTATTCCATTTCATTCTCGTCACCTCTACATGGTGATTCCTCCAAAACTAATGTAGTCCTCCATAATAACAAAATCTAGAAAAAGTGCAAAGAAGAGCAACTAAGATGATTAAAGGCCTGGAGACTAAAACATATGAGGAATGTTTGTAGGATTTGGGTTTGGCCAGTCTAGAGAAAAGAAGGACTTTTAGAAGTGACATGATAGCATGCCACAAAGAAGAGGGGGTTAATTTTTTTTTTTTAATTTGATTTATATGCCGCCCTTCTCCGGAGACTCAGGGCGGCTTACAATGTGCTCAGCAATAGCCTTCATCCTTTTGAATATTTATACAAAGTCAGCTTATTGCCCCCACAACTGGGTCCTCAATTTACCTACCTTAGAAAGGATGGAAGGCTGAGTCAACCTTGAGCCTTGGCGAGATTCGAACCTGCAGTAATTGCAGGCAGCTGGTCTTAATAACCAGCTTAATAACAGGGTGCCTTAGACCACTGTACTACCAAGGCTCTTAATTATTTTCCAAAGCATCAGAAGGCAGCACAAGAAACAATGAATGGAAACTAATCAAGGAGAGAAGCAACCTGGAATTATGGAGAAATTTCCTGAGGACAATTAACCGGTAGAACAGCTTGCCTTCAGAAGTTGTGGGTGCTTCATCACTGGAGGTTTTTAAGAAGAGACTGGATAGCCACCTGTCTGAAATGGTATAGGATCTCCTGCTTGAGCAGTGAGCTGGACTAGAAGACCTCCATGGTCCCTTACAGCTCTATTCTGATTCAGATTAGTCTGGTATCTTTATTCCTTCATTGGCCATTGAGAAGTTTTGTCCAAAGCCCAAAAGTCTAAAATATTCTATTCTGTATAGGTCAGGGATCAGCAACCCACAGCTCTGGAGCCGCATGTGGCTCTTTCGTCCCACTGCTGTGGCTCCCTGTTGCTGGTCGGCTCCACAATTATTAGGGCTTTTGGTTAGGATAGGTAGAGGAAAAAGGATGCCGCACTAGGAGGAGACTCTTTGGTGGGGGGACCGGACTTCTGGTCAGCAGAGGAAAAAGGATGTTATGCTAGGAGGAGACTATGATGGGAGAACCAGACTTCCAGTCGGCTCCAGAATTGAATGGGGGCTTCCGATTAGGACCTTTGTGGCTCTTCAAGTGCTTAAGGTTGCTGACCCCTGGTATAGGTAATCTTTGATTTATGACCACAATTGGGTTCAATATCTCCATTGCTAAGCAAGATGGCTGTTAAGTGAGTCTTCTCCAATTTTAATATGGTGGTTAAGTGTATCATTGCAGTTGTTAAGCGAATCGACATGCCCAATAAGCAAATCTAGTTTTCCCATTGATTTTGCTTGTCAGAAGCCATTTAGGAAGGTCACAAATAATAATCATGTGTCCCGGGCACACTGCAACAGTCGTAAATACATGCCAGTTGCCAAGCCCCCGAATTTTGATCACATGACCATGGGGATGTTGCAACTGTTGTAAACAGGGAGGATTGGTCATAAATATTTTTTTAAAGTACAGTTATAACTTCAAATGGTCACTAAACAAATTGTTGTAAGTTGAGGACTACCTGTATTTATCCTGCTATGCAAAGAATACTAGGAGGAAGCAAAAGGAGGTGATAATTAAGATGGTCCTTGGACTTTGATGTTGTAGCACTCGGAAAATAGATTTTCTTGGAAGAAAAAGAGCGAATTCAACTTTAGGTGTACAGCTGAAATGTGAGTGATGGAGAGAACAGCATTCAAAGCTGACACAAGCCGTTATTGTTAGTTGGGAAAGTACTATAGGGGGAGGAAGGTGTGTTGGATATGTTTGTCGCCTTGAGTTATTTGTAAAAATAATAAAGGTGGGATACAAATCAGTAAATGAAAAATAACTATGAAAACGTCTTCATCCCCTCTTGCATTTTGCTAATATTTGCACAAGCCTCTGAATGTTATCTGAGCTTCAAAGCAGTGGTGAAATCTAAAATTTGTTACTACTGGTTCTGTGGGTGTGGCTTGGTGGGGGGGGGGTAATGTGACTGGGTGGGCATGGCCAATTTTTTTTTTTTACTTTTAAAACCGTTTTTTCTACAACCTCTTTGGCGACGAGATTGTAAAAAAAATGCTTTCAAAAAGCTCTGACGATCCCAGCTGAGTTGCCTGATCGGCAGAGGCTTTTTTTCTTTTAAAAGCCTCTGCCAATCAGACAACTCAGCTTGGATCGTCAGAGGCATTTAAAAGAAAAAAAGCCTCTGCCGATCAGGCAACTCAGCTGGGATCATCAGAGGCTTTTAAAAGCATTTTTTCTACAACCTCTGAACCCCAGCTGAGTTGCCTGATCGGCAGAGGCTCTTTTTTTTTTTACTTTTAAAAGCATTTTTTTGGCTGAAGAGGTTGTAGAAAAAATGCTTTTAAATTTTTTTTAAAAAAGCCTCTGATGATTGCGCAGCTCAGCTGGGCATGGGGGTGGGGCAGGGATGTTTGTTACGGGTTCTTCGAACCACCTACCTCCACCTACCAGATCAGGCGATCCGGTCTGAACTGGGAGCATTTCACCCCTGCTTCAAAGTGTTCTAGGGAGATGCAAAAGGAAATATGAGTGAACAAATAACACCACGGCTGATACTTGGTTAATTTATTTCATACATAAAGTCATCCAACATCCAATATGCTGGTGTGAAAAAAAATAACACACCTCCTTGTTTTGGTCTGTTCAGTCAAAGGAGGACACCTGGCAAGTTCTTTCTGTAACAGAGCAAATCTGGACCTCTCCTGTGAACATTTCATGAACCTCGGCTGCATTCATCACAGTAAAGTCTCACTACATACTGAGACGAGTCAGACC